CATAGAGAGAAAAAGAAATGTCTAGATAGATATAAACATAGATATATAGGGCTCCTCTCACCCAACCTTTTTAACTTGTATGCAGAACACATCATGCGATGTGCGGAGCTTGATAAATGCAAGGCTGGAGTTAAAATTGCTGGAAGAAACATTAACAAACTTAGATATGCAGATGATACCTCTTTGATAGCCAAAAGTGAGGAGGAGCTGAGGAGCCTTCTAACTAAGGTGAAAGAAGAAAGTGCAAAAGCTGGGTTGCAGTTAAACATCAAAGAAACCAAGATTATGGCAACAAGAATGATTGATAACTGGAAAATAGAGGGAGAAAACGTGGAGGCAGTGACAGACTTTGTATTTCTAGGTGCAAAGATTACTGCAGATGCAGACTGCAGCCAGGAAATCAGAAGACGCTTACTTCTTGGGAGGAGAGCAATGTCCAGTCTCGATAAAATGGTGAAGAGTAGAGACATCACACTGGCAACAAAGATCCGTCTAGTCAAAGCCATGGTATTCCCTGTAGTAACCTACGGATGTGAGAGCTGGACCTTAGGGAAGGCTGAGCGAAGGAAGATCGATGCTTTTGAACTGTGGTGTTGGAGGAACGTTCTGAGAGTGCCTTGGACTGCGAGAAGATCCAACCAGTCCATCCTCCAGGAAATAAAGCCCGACTGCTCACTGGAGGGAAAGAGACTAGAGACAAAGTTGAAGTACTTTGGCCACATCATGAGGAGACAGGAAAGCCTAGAGAAGACAATTATGCTGGGGAAAGTGGAAGGCAAAAGGAAGAGGGGCCGACCAAGGGCAAGATGGATGGATGGCATCCTTGAAGTGACTGGACTGACCTTGAGGGAGCTGGGGTTGGTAACGGCCGACAGGGAGCTCTGGCGTGGGCTGGTCCATGAGGTCACGAAGAGTCGGAGACGACTGAACGAATGAACAACAACAACAACATATAGGGCTTGCAAATATTGCAGGGGAAATGCATATATAGAGAGAGAGGATTTGCAAACATTTCAGGGGGAAATGCATATGTGAAATTAGTATATATTATTATAGATCTATATCTAGCTCTGCATTGTTTATATAGGCATTGAATGTTTGCCTGTTACTATGTTGGAAGCCGGCCTGAATCCCAATGGGAGATAGGGTGGGATACAAATGAAGTTTATTATTAGGTTCTTGTGGGTTTTTTCGGGCTATAGGGCATTTCTCCTGACGTTTCGCCTGCATCTATGGCAAGCATCCTCAGAGGTAGTGAGGTTTGTTGGAATTAGGACAATGGGTTTATATATGTGTGGAATGGCTGGGGTGGGGCAAGGAGCTCTTCTCTGCTGGAGCTAGGTGTGAATGTTTCAACTGACCACCTTCATTAGCATTTGAAGGCCTGGCTGAGCCTGGGAAAATCTTTTGAGAGGTGTTAAGATGTGCCTGGTTGTTTCCTCTCTGCTGTTTTGCTGTTGTAATTTTAGAGTTTTTTAATACTGGTAGCCAGATTTTGTTCATTTTCATGGGTCCTTCCTTTCTGTTGAAATTGTCCACATGCTTGTGGATTTCAATGGCTTCTCTGTGTAGTCTGACATGGTGGTTGTTGGTGTGGTCCAGCATTTCTGTGTTCTCAAATAATATGCTGTGTCCAGGCTGGTTCATCTGGTGCTCTGCTATGGCTGACTTCTCTGGTTGAAGTAGTCTGCAGTGCCTTTCATGTTCCTTGATTCGTGTTTGGGCAATGCTGCGTTTGGTGGTCCCTATGTAGACTTGTCCACAGCTGCATGGTATACGGTAGACTCCTGCAGAGGTGAGAGGATCCCTCTTGTCCTTTGCTGAACGTAGCATTTGTTGGATTTTCTTGGTGGGTTTGTAGATTGTTTGTATGTTGTGTTTCCTCATCAGCTTCCCTATGCGGTCAGTGTTTCCCTTGATGTATGGCAGGAACACTTTTCCTCTGGGTGGATCTTCATCTTGACTCTCGTGGCTTGTTCTTGGTCTTGCAGTTCTTCTGATGCCTGAGGTGGAGTATCCATTGGCCTGGAGAGAGAAGATTATTATTATTATTATTATTATTATTATTATTATTATTATTAAAGTTATTGTTGATACCATATTGTTTCTGTTGACCCTACATTTCCACTTACAGAGCTAGTTTACTGTTTTTCTTTGAATTACGGTAAATATTCAAAAACATTTAACCTACTGATGCCTCAATTAATGTAATTTTATTGGTATCTATTTTTGTTTTGAAATTTACTAGTAGCTGCTGCATTTTCCACCCTCAGCTTACACTTGAGTCAATAAGTTTTCCCAGGTTTTTTGTGTGGTAAAATTAGATGCCTTGGCTTATATTCAAGTCGGCTTAAACTCCAGTATATATGGTATATTTAATTCTATATTAATATTTGTGTTTTTGTGAGTTTTGAATTGTGGTGTTCTTTTCTAATATCTTGATTGCGAGATAACAGCAGAATACAAATAATAGAACAACAATAGTAATAGGATGAAAATGATACTACTAATGGTTTTATTTCCAGTACTTGACTGAAAGTAATAATCACTACCATCATCTATCCATCTCTTGGAAGCTGGAACTCAAGGCAACTTAGAAAAAAGAGAGGGAATGTAGTCAAGAACACAAACACATGTAGAAAGAAACATAAAAATAAGATTTAAACTGTATTAAATAATTGCAGAATTCAAGCCGATGACAATCTTAGGGCACATATACACATGCTACTTATCCTGGGGCTGATCTGGAGTGTAATTGTTAGCATCCAAGCCCTGTATGGTAGGTTAAAAAGAGAACGAGAGATAATAAACATTTCTCTGTGAGTTTTAAAGGCAAAAGGAAGACTTGAACAAATTTTAGGACTGCCTAAAAATGTCAGAAGCAGAGCTGAAATTATGGCTATGGCATCAAATATACTTTTTGGAATTTTAGACTGAAGTACAATAGTTGGCTTCTGTTGCAGTTTTCTCTCGGTGTCTGATACTCTTTTTGGTCTCTTGCAATGTATTAACTAGTTTTATAATGCTTGGGTAGGCAGCTGCTGTTTTGTGTTTGGTTTTATCGCCCCCCTCCTCCCAAAATGGGTCTGGCCATTATTTACCTTTTAAACAATCAAGATAATTACCATTATGTCTCCAAGTAAATTTGTAAAATCCTTCTCCAAGAGCCTTATGATTCCGCTGGGACAGTTTCTAGTTGGGACTTTTACACTTTAATGGTAGCCTAATTGCAGATTTGGCTCTGTGCGCACAAAACAAAGTGGTTAATTGTTTAGGCAAACAGATTAATTTAAATATGCATCCTTCTGTTTTGTTTTGTTTTTTTTTAACTATAGCAACCCCAAAAAGGCTTGTGGATGACTTTTGCTCCACTGATGAGGTACATAAATATTCAAGAGGAATGCTTTTAGTAGAGAGCTCCTAAGATGTGTGATAAGGGAGTACTTCCCAGGCACCGGAATATCTTTATGAAAATGTACATGTATTTCCATTTAAATGTGTTTGGATGTGGAGTCATTGTTTTGCTCAGGCTTTGTTTCCTTTACCATATGGAAATATGACCAAGCATAGGTTGGCCATCCACATCAGCATGAGGGAATGTCCTTATGGGTTCAGGGAACCGGGAGTTCCTGTTTGTTAGTACTGATGGGGCTAAAGGGGATCTTTAGTTCCAATCTTTCATAAACTTCTAAACAGCACAACTGGAGAAATGCTAGAAATTCCATGTTGCAATGTGGTTTATGGATCTCATCTGTTTAGTTAAGCATTTGAAAATCAGAAGCATGGAGAGTTGCATGGAAGATTTGCGAACTTGAAATAACTTCTGTGTGTCCTCCTTCCTAACTCTAGATCTGTTTCTCGGGCTTTAGGTAACCATTCTGAAAAGAGACTATGCAAATACATAGTTTAGTTATTTATTTATTTCCACTATTTCTATCCCGCCCTTATCAGCCCGAAGGCGACTCAGGGCGGCATACAAAGTCGGCACAATTTGATGCCATATATAAAATACATTGATAAAAAACAAAACAAAAAACAAATAAACCAACAACAACATTGCAATACATTTAGAAACATAAAAACAATGAATAATTTAAAAAAATTAAACACTATGTCCTCTTGTTCAAATCCTCATCCGTTCCATCGTCTTGGCCGTTCCTGGGTCATTTTCCATTTCAAGTTTATCTGTTTACCCCGAGGTTCCGAATGCTTGCTCAAAGAGCTGAATTTTCACTCTTTTTCAAAAGGTCAGGAGGGAGGGGGCTGATCTAATATCCCTAGGCAGGGAATTCCACAGCGGAGGGGCCGCCACAGAGAAGGCCCTGTCTCTCATCCCCTCTTTTTGGTCTCTTGCAATGTATTAACTACTTTTATTATGCCTGGGTAGGCAGCTGCTGTTTTGTGTTTTATCGCCCCCCCCCCCTCAAAATGGGTCTGGCCATTATTTACCTTTTAAGTAATAAGATAATTACCATTATGTCTCCAAGTAAATTTGTAAAATCCTTGGCCCTCTTTCTGTAACCACGGATCCTCCCTCCATGGATCGAATGGCCTTTTTGAATACAAGCATAAGGTGATGACACACTTGTTATAGACGCTCTCTGTGTTTCTTATTATCAGGTTACAGAAGGTAGTGAATGTAGTTCTCACTATGTCCTGTCTTAACCATCATCTTCCTTGGGTTTGTCTTATTTTAGAAATAGCAGCTATTAGAGGGGAGCTGTGGTCCAGATGAGGAATTTTCCCCTCCCCACACTTTGTTGATCCACTGATTCCTTCCAGGCCGCAGTCGGTCTCCAGAGGTGTCATTCATTCCAATGCAATTGTCGCCTTTGTTCGGTAAATTGGTTGGAGTTGCTGAGATCCAGGCATCCCTGTGAGAGTCAAAAGTCAGTGTTTAGACTTTGATAAAATGAAAATGAAAATCAAAATAATGTTGTGTTAATTAACATTACAACTGCAGTATTGTCTTCCTCAACGCCTGTCTTATTGGTTTGCAGGGTCGATTAAAGTGTGGAGTTTGATGTTGCGTTCTGAGCCCATTCATCACTACCAGCACAACCAGAAGATCCAAGCGCTGGCTCTCTCAACTGACAGGGCAACGGTAGCAACGGCATCAGCCTTCCAGGTCAGAGTGGAAGGGGCGAATGACATGGGATACTGGGAGACCATCGCAGAAGTCGAAATCCAGAAGCTGGTGAGAACTCACCATTTACCTCATTGATGGGCAACTAGATGTCTTGAAGTACAACTGCTGTAACCATCAGGCAGAACTTGCAGGGTGCAGGTGTGATAGGATTTGTAGTCAGAATCCAGGAGGATACTAGTTTGCCTACCCCATTTGGCAATGGCAATGTCTTTTGAGGGAGCCCATGTCAACTGAAGTCTTTGTGGATATCGAATGAAGAATATTCCATAAAACCCAGAACACATGTGATGACATGAAGCAGAATCTGTTTTAGACTTCGTTTTCTTAAAAAAAAAGTTATTGGCATAATTTTCTCCGTCTTAGAAATACTACCAGTGCCTACATGAAAACAAATCAAACCTTCTGGAATGGGACTTGGGTGGCAATCTTTTGCAGAGGTTCCAGTCTGTCCCTGAGGGGTAAACCCACATCTGCTAGAAGGTTGCATGAGGTCTACCTCTGATATAGGCCAAGGCATCAGACAAAACGTTCACCAGACCAAGTTATGTGTGTCTCTGGAAAGAGAAAGCAAGCAGAGAATAGAAAGTAAGACTGAAAGTCGGCATTGTGGTCATCTTTGAACCCATCGGAATCCTTGCAGGTCCAGTCCCTCTGCCTGGTGCCCTGCGTCATGGGCCGCCCAGTGATGGTGGCAACTGCCGAAGAGGATGTCTATCTTCTGAAGGCAGGAGAACCCGCCAAAGTGTTGCATTCCGTCTATGGCCAGCCTGTCACCTGCCTGGATGTCTCAGCCAATGAGGTGGCCTTTGGAGTGAAAGGTTTTGGCTGGTTGATCAATGAGACCAACAAGGTGCGTAAGCATTTTGGTACCAACTGGAACAACTCTTGTGTGTTAAGATAGATGTATGGTTATCGGTGCACATTTGACTTTCCATCTTGACTGCAGTTCTTGTTTTATTGATTCTGTGTGGCAATAACTTCACCATTTTAACCTCCATAATTTTTACAGTCCTGCTTGGCCTGGGATAGGGATGTATTTATTCATTGCCTTTGTTGTTGTTGTTGTTTATTTGTTCAGTCACTTGTGACTCTTTGTGACCTCATGGACCAGCCCATGCCAGAGCACCACCTCCAGCTCCTTCAGTCACTTCAAGGATAACATCCATCAATCTTGCCCTTGGTTGGCCCCTCTTCCTTTTTCCTTCCATTTCCCCCAGCATCATTGTCTTCTCCAAGCTTTCCTGTCTTCTCATTGTGTAGCCAAAGTACTTCATCTTTGCCTCTAATATCCTTCCCTCCAGTGAGCAGTCGGGCTTTCTTTCCTGGAGTATGGACTGGTTGGATCTTCTGGCGGTCCAAGGCACTCTCAGAATTTTCCTCCAACACCACAGTTCAAAAGTGTCTATCTTCCTTTGCTCAGCCTTCCTTATGATCCAGTTCTCACATCCATAGGTTATTACGGGCTTTATACTCTGTCTTTCTCCCAGAATGGGAAGATAAAGGCCATATGTTGCAGACAACTGACCAGTCTTCCTATTTTCTTTTGTTTTCCCTCTAGATTTTTTTAAAAAAATGAAATCCCCAGGCTACTGCCTAGAGCGCTGTTATGTCTCGATCAATTAATTGATTGATTGATTCCGCATATTTGTATCCCATCCTCACCCCCGGAGGGGGACTCAGGGCGGCTTCACAACAGGCATTCATTCAGTGCCAACAACAGTAATAAATAATAATAGCAATTAAAACAATTCATTAAGGCATTGAATTACTAAAACATTTGTTTAAAATCACGCAGGTTTAAAATCATAGTCTGGGTCAGTCCATTGTCGTTCATACAAATTGGGTCTCATTCTAAATTGCTGCCTCTACTGTTTGAATGCTTGGTCCCATAACCAGATTTTGAGTTTCTTTCTAAAGGATAGGAGGGAGGGGCCAATCTGATGTAACTGGGAAGAGAGTTCCACAGGTGAGGGGCCACCACTGAGAAGGCCCTGTCTCTCGTCCACACAGGTCGTGTTTGCGAGGATGGTTGGAACCAAGAGCAGGGCCTCCCCTGCCAATCTTAAACTTCGCAATGGTTCATAGCGGGATATATGTTTGGACAGGTAAACTCCAAATATCTCCAAATATCGAACTTTTAGAAATTTGCATCTCTAATCAAAATGTATTACATTCACTCCCTATTACAGTAAGATTAAATAAGAACAATAAAAGCAAAAAACAATAAAAGCAAAAGAGAGAGAGAGAGAAGGTATAGTGACAACTTTGGAGACCAGGGTTTGACTACTCCATTCAGCCATGCAAACCCATTGGGTGACCTTGGGTGAGTCACACTCTCTCACCCTTCTCAGGAATGCAAAGGCAACCCATGAAGAAATCATACCAAGAAAAAGCAATAATAGAGTCACCATCATTTGGAAACCACTTGAAGGCACACAACCCCAAATTAGATATACTGTATTTACTCTTGTCTAATGTGCCACGAAATGTAATGTGCCCCATAATTTTCAGAACCTTGAAACCAAGAAAAGTATTTGCTGTCGAATGTCATTCACAGCACTCTTCATAATTTGGCCATTACAGCTGCTGTCGGCTTAGAATTCCTTCTTTAAAAACGAAAGTGTTTGGACACCAGAGCTTTCAGCAATGGAAAATAAAATCTTGGAGTGCATCTATTCTGTAGAATGTATCCATTTTTACTGTCCCCGGATCAATGTTATGGAGTAATGGAGGCTGTAGTTTTACAAGGTCTTGAGCCTTCTTTGCCAAAGAATGCTGATGCCTCACCAAACTACAAATCCCAGTATCCCATAGCATTGACCCATGGCCATTAAATGAGAGGTGATGTCTCTCAAATAGGCGCTCCAAGTGCTCCTGAAGCAGCTTTCCCTTTTGCTTTGGCTCAGCACTAAGACTGCCATATTATGCAAATCTCATGTGTACCTTAGTATTGGGGAGGTCATTTAGCCAAAAAAGATAAGCATTTGATTAGGTACTGAAAAGTGGCCCTGAGTTGACTGCAGTTGCCCATCTTTGTGTTAGCCTGATCCTTCTTGCTTAGTTGCATGTGTTACAGATAATGTCTGCTTTCTTGGTGTTCCTCAGAAGCTTGAGATAATTCACTTGGTTGGTTTTGCAAAAAATTCGCTTTGGAAATGCAGTTGGGTGTTTTCCTGAGCCGTGACTGCTACTTAACTGAGGCAGATGATACAGTTATTAAGTCTTGGGGTGATTCCACCATAATATAGATGGCCCACAGAAGCAGGCATCAGAAGCCTTGAAGGGAAGCAGACTTTTCTCTGCAGTGGAAGGCCTCTAGGGGGAACTATTTTCCTTCATTTAGCAAACCGACATCCCTTCCCTTTGAAAGTGCTTAAAGTAGATCTTAGGAGCACTGGGCTATCAGTTGCAACTTAGATGACTTTATTCAGAACTTCTTGGCAACTGGAAACGTTCAGAAGCTTGTGAGAAAAAACTGGTGCAATCTGTGTTATATTTTTTTCTGCTCTTATTTGTCCCCAATCTGGATGGCAGAGGGCATGTTCATCCAATTTGCAGATAGCATCGAACTGTGAGGGGTAATGAATATCTCAGAAGACAGCATCAGATGACCGTAACAGGTTAGAGAACTGGGTCAGAAGAAACAAAATGAAGTTCAGTAGTAATAAACAAAAGATACTTAGACAGAGAGGGGCAGCTTGACACTGGATGATTACTAGTGATGGGTGACAATTCTCTCAGGGCTAAATACCTTAAGGCACCAGATACTGTTTGATCTTAGAAGCTGAGCAGCATCAGCCCAGATTAGTACTTGGAAGGGAGACTGCCAAATAAAGCCCAGTGCTATAGACTCTATTTCGAAGAAAGGAACTGGCCGATGCTCTGATGAGGATTCCTTAGAATCATAGAATCGTAGAGTTGGAAGAGACCTCATGGGACATCAAGTCCAACCCCCTGCCAAGAAGCAGAAAAATCACATTCAAAGCACCCCTGACATATGGCCATCCAGCCTCTGCTTAAAAGCCTCCAAAGAAGAGGGCTCCACCACACTCTGGGGAGAGAATTCCACTGCTGAACAGCTCTCACAGTCAGGAAATTCTTCCTAATGTTCAGGTGGAATCTCCTTTCCTGTAGTTCCTTGCCAAAAAAAAACCCTAAGAAATTCATCCAGTTGCAACAGGCAACTAGAAGGCATAGACACAGTGATTCTCCCAACCAAATCTGTAAATAAACATGCTGTTGGGTTTGCAATTCCCATTATCCCCAGTTTACATGACAGATAACCAAAAGGGTTGGGAGTTGCCGTTTAATAAAATCTGAGGACACAAACTGGGTAAAAACTAAAGAGCACAAGACACCATGTAAAAAAAAACTATAGTTGGCCCTCTGTATCTATGGATTCTATGGATGTTATGGCCCGTTGAAGGCAGCCATAAGTTGGATGTGGCCCTTGATGAAAAGGAATTTGATACCTCTGATCTAGAGGGCATCCCTCTTAACGTACCACTGGGAATCTAGTTCACTATTTTGTTTATGATATTGAATGATGAATCAAAAAGGCGTAGCCCTCCCTTGCCTCTACCCACTTCTGCTGTACAAGATTGAAGTCTTTATGTCCTCAATCCACCTGGAACAAAGAGGCTTCCCAAAACTCTGCTCTGTGTGTTTGGAGTAGTGGATCAGTGAGCCATGGATCGGTGTGTTTTCTAATCAGGGAGATGGGGCTGAAGGAGCCCAGACGGCTGGGATGTGTTTGACAAGGGCGCTCACTTGCTTGGCGTTGCCGCACCGGCTGACATCACGCCGGAAACTAATTACTAATGTCTACTATGATAATTATTCCCTAGATGTGAAGGGACTTTGCATTGGTTGATTACTCTGGTCAGAAGTCGATGATCTATCTCTAGATTGCTGTTGAAGATGTATCGGTGCCTTTTGGCCCCGTTTCAGTGGGATGGGATCCTCCATCCGTCCCGCCATCATGTTTCATTTTGTACTTTTGGGGCCAAGATTCTGTACCATACTGGCAAGAAAGTATTGGACAAACTGGATACATTTATCTAGACTAGTAGGTGTTTTGATTCTTCTGTGTGATTTAAATTGTACATCCTTCTTATAACGGATCAAAGATTTTTTAGCTGGCTAACTTGCCTTTTAACCAGTGGCCAGTTTTAAGTATGCATTAAAAGTATTTGCATAGTATCAAAACGTATCTCAGTGCCATATTTTAGAACTTCAAAAGGTACTGTTCATAATTTTATTATTTTCTTCCCTGTAAGATTAGCTCACCAACTTACAAATAATAAGTATGCTTCATAATGTTTGTCTTGTTGACTAAAAATTGGCTTCCTTGAGTTAAATTTGGCATTGGGTAATTAAATTAAAAGCCAATACATAACAGCAAAAAGTAATCAGTTGGGTTTTTTTTTACCTTCGGTCATTTGTATTTTAAAAATATTCTTGTTGACAATGTCTTCAAAAAGGAAGTTTAAATTCTTGGGAATTTGCTGAGGATGTGGTATAGTTGCTGTACTTTGGCTCCTCTTTGGACTTACTTTCTTGCATTGGTATTAATGGAACTAATTTGTCAGAAATACAGGCAAACTTGCTATTAAAAAGCTAATGCCCAGGAACACATCTACTTCAGTAACCACAATATAACTGTACTTCATACCAGTGCCTTAGCATGATAATTGGATATACTCCAAATTGGAATTAGCCCTTCTTTTTCTGGGGTATGTTTTGTAGAATATGTTGTGCTGGTCTTGCATCAGTTTTCTGCTCTTCCTGTTGGTTTCCGTAACTGCTTCCTTAGGGAGGTAAGACTTATTTTGCCTTATTGTTTGGGAA